CTCAGCCTCCCGAGTAGCTAGGACTACAGGTGCCCGCCACAAGGCCTGGCTATTTTTTTGCTATTGTAGTTGTCATTGTTGTTTAGCTGGCCTGGGTTGGGTTCGAACCCAACGTCCTTGGTATATGTGGCTGGCGCCATAAGCACCGTATGAGGGCGCCAAGCCTCTGCAGTGCATTTTAGAGACCTTCCCTATTTGTAGTGTTTCCTCATTCTTTTCCTTTTTCTTTTAATTGTGGCAAAATACACATAACTCAGAATTTACCATTTTAACCTTTTAAAGTGTACAGTTCAGTGGCATTAAGTACATTCTTCATACTATCATGGAACTATTATCACTGTCCATCGACAGGACTTTTTTTCTTATTGAGACAGTCACTCCGTCACCTAGGGTAGAATGCTGTGGTATCATCATACCTCACAGCAACCTCAAACTCCTGGGCTCAAGTAATCTTCCTGCCTCAGCCTCCCAAAAAGCTGAGACTACGGACACCCCCCATGACCCTCATTAATTTTTCTATTTTTAGTAGAGAAAAGGTCTCACTCTTGTTCAGGCTAGTCTCAAACTCCTGAGCTCAAGTGACCCTCATGCCTTGTCTCCACAGTGTTAGGACTGTAGGCATGAACCCTTGAGCCCAGCCTCCAGGACTTCTTCATCATCCTAACTGAACCCTCATTCTTTCTGCTGCCTAGAATTCCCTGACATAGATGTGCCTACATTATGAAACCAACCCCTGCGGATGAACATTAGGTTACTTCCAGTCTTTGACAGTGTTAAAGTGAACAGTCACTCCCATACAGACACACTTTATCTCACATGTGTGCACTGAGAATATCTATAGGATTGATAATCCCAAGGCATCACCAGGTCAAAGTGATTTGTATTTCTCACCTTGATGAGTAATTCCATTTTGCTTTCCAAAAGAATTGTATGCCTTTTTCCCCACACTGTGGACAACACAGTATGTTATCCAACTGTATGATTTTTTGCCAGTCTGGGTGAAAAACGGTACCTTAGGCTGGGCATGGTGGTTCATGCCTGTAATCTGAGCACTCTGGGAGGCCGAGGTGGGGGGATTGCTTGAGCTCACGAGTTCAAGACCAGCCTGAGCTGGTAGCACCTGTAGCACAGTGGTTACAGCACCAGCCACATACGCTGAGAGTGGAGGGTTTGAACCCGGCCCAGGCCAGCTATACACTGCAGCAAAAAAATAGCTGGGCATTGTGGCAGGCGTCTGTAGTCCCGGCTACTTGGGAGGCTGAGGCAAGAGAATCATTTAAGCCCAAGAGTTTGAGGTTGCTGTGAGCCCAGGGCGGCAGCATGAGACTCTGTCACAAAAAAAAAGAAAGAAAAAGAAACAGTGCCTTAGTGTAGTTCTAATTTACATTTCTTTAATTTCTTTAGATTCTTCTTCAAAAGAATGAAGTAATAGAAATTAAACTTTTGAATGAAGTTAAGCATTTTAAATGTTAAAAAGCTATTTTTTCCTCTGTGCATTGTGTTCATATCCTTTGTCTAATTTTCTACTGGATTGGTTGGTCTTTTCTAATAGGAATGGGTATTTAAATATTTTAGCATGGAAATTTTCAAACATATACAAAGATTAAAAAGTGTAATGTACCCCATGTGCTCACCTTCCAGCTGCAACAAGTAGTAGCACCAGTACCCACACTCATTCTCCTGTAGGTTACTCACTAGCAAATTCCAGATATAGCATTTTCTATATAAATGCTTCTGCCTCTGTATGTTTCTCTAAGAGATGATTACCCACCCCCCCTTTTTAATGGCAATACAATTATTATGCCTAAAGCAACTAACAAAAGGGTGACTCAGGCCTGTAATCCTAACACTTTGGTGGTAGCCTAAGCTCACAGGTTTGAGACCAGCCTGAGCATGAGTGAGACTCCATTTCTACTAAAAATAGAAAAACCTGAGGCAAGAAGATCACTTGAGCCCAAGAGTTGGAGGTTGCTATGAGCTATGATGCCATAGTACTCTACTTGGGGCCTGAGACTCTGTCTCAAAAAAAAAAAAAAAAAACAACAAAAGGAGGTGGGATTTTTTTTTGGCTGAGTGTTTATAAACAGGGTTGAGAGGATGTTCTGCTTCAGTGCCCTGCTCACAGCTAACAGCCCCCAAGCCCATCACTGAAGCAACCCAGTCCCATGGGTCTTGAAGACACCTGCTCTGCGGTTTTCTCATGGTGGGGCTGTCCCCTTCATCTATACTCTCAGATTCAGCCAACGTGAGAGCCATTGTGACATAATGTATAAGCCTTACATGTCCATTAATTCATTTGAACGTGGCAGAAGCCTGAAATACAGTTAGTATTAACACCCTTTCCCCTTTGTAGTTGAGAATACTGAAGCCCAGAGAGGTAAAGTGACTTGCACAGGCATTACTTGGGGATTTCAGCCCAGCCTTCCTGCCAGCTCACTGCACTAGAGCTGCCTTGATGGGTTGCTGAGAATGCCACCCCTGCCTAGCCTCTACAGTCCCTCTGCCTTACATGACTATGTCTCTCTTCATTTCTAGGTGTGTTCCGGGGTGGGCATGACATCCTGGTGCGTTCCCGGCTGCTGCTTTTGGATACAGTGACAATGCAAGTGACAGCTCGAAGTTCAGAGGAGCTGCCAGTAGACATCGTCTTGGCATCTGTGGGCTAAGGGGCCAGCCTGCGTAGGCCCTGCTCCTACCCTTTGCCCCCAACACGATGCAGAAGTTGCGCCTTCCTTGTGAAACTGTTGGAAACACCTTCCCAAGCCTCTGTATTCAAACACAATTAGGAATCATTGCTAATATTTTTTTTAATTCTACCCCCCAATCTAGGACTGCTGGGGGTGGGGGAGGGTGACTTTTTGTTTTAATAGGGGATGATTTTAGCTTGTCCTCAATCTTTTCCTGCCTGCAAGAGAAGGGACATTGTAAAGGAATAAAACATTTGCACCTCCTCTCAAATTTATCCCCAAAGAAACCATCTTATCCCTTTAATAAATCAGCATGTATTTATTGAATGACTGCTACCTCTGCTGACTCACGCTTAGGTGCTCCATCTTCCCCTTTAAGGCCTCCCACCACCAGGAAGAACACCTGCCCATCCCCTCTGCACCCACAGCCCTTTGGCTACTGTACTGAGGCAGGACTCTCTCCCCTTCATTGCTGTCCTACCACCAAGTGGAGGGAGGGGAGCAGTACAGGTCTGTTTAGTGAATGACCTCAGCTCACAGGCATTGCCCTCACACTCATTCATGCTTTCTCAAAACCACATCCTTCTGTAGAGGATAAATGGAAGTTTCAGTGTGTTCAAGGCATCCCCAAGCATCTCGCCTGATGGGACTGCCCTGGGTTTTCTTGTTCAGCCAAGTGACTGAACAGAGTGGAAAAATAGCCCCTTAGAGAGTGTTCTGTTGGTGCAGATGAAGATATCCCTGGTTTATGTTCTGGGGAGCAGACTTTTAAACTCAAACCACCTGTTTCACCAAATTTGTTGCCCAAACACCCAAAAAAACATGTTTTTAAAATCTGGACTCGGCGCCTGTGGCTCAAGTAGCTAAGGCGCCAGCCACATACACCCAAGGTGATGAGTTCGAATCCAGCCTGGGCCCGCCAAACAACAATGACGGCTGCAACCAAAAAATAGTCGGGCGTCTGGCGGTGCCTGTGGTCTGAGCTACTTGGGAGGCTGAGCAGGAGACTCGCTTGAGCCCAGGAGTTGGAGGTTGCTGTGAGCTGGGATGCCACGGCACTCTACCCAGGGGGACAGCTTGAGGCTCTGTCTCAAAAAAAAAAATAAAAATAAATAAAAATCTGAGCCTCAGGTGGAGCCTGTGGCTCAGTGAGTAGGGCTCCGGCCCCACATACCAAGGGTGGCGGGTTATAACCCAGCCCCACCAAACCACAACAAAAAGCCGCGCGTTGTGGCGGGCGCCTGTAGTCCCAGCTACTCCGGAGGCTGAGGCAAGGGAATCACCTAAGCCCAGGAATTGGAGGTTACTGTGAGCTGTGACGTTACTGCACTCTACAGAGGATGTTAAAGTGCGCTCTGTCTCTACAAAAAAAAAAAAAATTTCTTGGAGATACAGATTAGGGAAGAGGGCACCTAAAATGGCTCCTTCTGGTGCTGACCATTCTTTTGAGGAGGATTTGTGCAATTCCTTGAAGTTTCCTGAATTCCATTTCCAGTGTTCCCTGATTTTTGCCCCATACTGGGACAGGTAGCAGGAACATGAGTTAAGGGAGTTAACTCCTTAAAAGAATTTTTTTTTTCTTTTTTTGAGACAGAGCCTCAAGCTATCCACCTGGGGAGTGTTGTGGCCTCACAGCTCACAGCAACCTCCAACTCCTGGGCTCAAGCGAGTCTCCTGCCCCAGCCTCCCAAGCAGCTGGGACCACAGGGGCCCGCCACAACGCCCGGCTATTTTTTGGTTGCAGCCATCATTGTTTGGTGGGTCCGGGGTGGATTCGAACCCGCCACCCCTAAGGTGTATGTGGCTGGCGCCTTAGCCACTTGAGCCACAGACGCTGAGCCAACTCCTTAAAAGAGTTGAGGAACGTAAAGGTAATTGGCTGGCAGCTGTAACCCGAGACTTACCTGAAGCCACCTGAACGAGAGCTGGACCCTACAGGAAAACTAGCAGGTGTCCTGATGGGCGCCTGAGTCCCAGCTGCTGCCGAGGCTGGGGCAGGAGGATCGCCTGAGCCCGGGAGTCGGACAGGTGAGGCTATCGTTCAAAAAAAAAAAATTTTATTGACTTCACACTTAACAATAAACTGGCGACCCCAGGGGGGGACACGGGATCCTGCCCGCCCTGTCAACATGGAGGAAAGTGGAGCTCAGCTGGCGCGGCGCGTCCCCCGAAGCACTCACGGTCTCCGGAGGGATGTTCTTCTGACCCTCGACTCGCCCCCGCCGCAGGGCCCCTGGGACGCGGGAAGAACCCGCCGCTGGGGGCGGGGCTGACCTCTGGGGGCGGGGCCTGGCCAAGCCCGGGCGGACGCCGGCGGAGGCAGCGCGGGTGCGGTCGCGGAGCGAGTGGCGGGCTGAGCCGAGCGGGCAGCGGCGGTGAGGCCCGGAGTGCCGGAGGCGGCCTGGGGAGGGCGGGCGACGGGAGGAGGGCGGCCGGGCCGAAGCGAGGCGCCGCGGGGTGGCAGAGTGAGGCCGCGGCGGAGGGAGGCGACGCGGGGAGGGTTGCTGTGGCGGGCAGGCTGCCGTTCTCACAGCAAGGCAGGGGACAGAAGGACAAGCTGGGGGCGCCGAGTCACCGCGGAAGGAGCTGGTGGCTCCACCAGAGACCACGGATACCGCCCACCTTTCTGGGCTGAACTGTTAATTGAACCAAGGAAACGGGCGTCCCCGGCCTCGGGCAGATGTTTATGGAGCGCTCCCGATGCCCGGGCTGGACCAGGCCGGCGCCCTCTTTCTGGAGGACGGCCCCGCGGGGGTCGGAAGACCGCGCTGGGACTGAAGCAGCAGACTTCACACTTGAGATGCGTAAGCCTTTTCCTTGTGTTTTGTCAGGTAAAGGTGGTGAGAGACCGCGTTGAAGCATGTGCGGGCGAACGTCCTGTCACTTGCCTCCAGATGCCCTGGCCAGGGCTTGTGCCTACCTGGACCGGCGCGGCCGGCGGCGGCTCCCCGACTGGAGGGACCCGGACAAGTACTGCCCCTCCTACAACAAGAGCCCGCAGTCCAGCAGCCCGGTGCTGCTGTCTCGCCTGCACTTTGAAAAGGTAACCAGCCTGGTGTGCATCGTCCTAGCGCCCTGCCCGGGCGTCGTGATGGGCACCTCCTGTTGGGGTTGTGGATTCTCAGCCTTTGGGCGGCTGAGCGCGCGGCCTCACGCCTGTAATCCGCATGTTCCGTCGGGAGGCTGCAGCGGGATCAGCGTAGAAGCCAGCCAGAAACAGATATTCTGACCCTCAGTTGAGATGGTCCTTGTCCTCATGAAAGAAGATCTAGCAGTCTCTTCTGATAAAGAGTTAGAAGTCTGACTTAGGGGCGGCACCTGTGGCTCAAAGAATTAGGCCTCATATACCGAGGGTGGTGGGTTCGAACCTGGCCCGGGCCAAACTGCAACAATAAATAGCTGGGCAGTGTGGCGGGCCCTTGTAGTCCTAGCTACTCGGGAGGCTGAGGCGAGAGAATCGCCTAAGCCCAGGAGCTGGAGGTTGATTTGAGCTGTGTGACTCCACAATACTCTACCTAGGGTGACAAAGTGAGACTCTGTCTTCTTAAGAAAAAAAAAAAAAGATAACTGAATATTCTTCAAGCTCAATGTAGATGCCTTTGCTATACCTACATACAAGGCATACTAGCCGTAATATATGCCAAATTTATATTGGCCTTATATTTGACTATGTTGTTTAAAACAGCTGCTTTCAAAGTTCACTGATCATTAGGGTCATTGAGTATCTTAAAAAAAAAAAAGATTTCCGGCGGCACCTGTGGCTCAGAGGAGTAGGGTGGTGGCCCCATATACTGGAGGTGGTGGGTTCAAACCCTGCCCCAGCCAAAAAAAAAAAAAGCTTTCTATGCACCTTACCAGAGCAGCTGAATCAGAATCTCCCTATCTCCAGGCCTACAGTGGACTTAAGACCAGTTAATCCAAAACGTCCGGTGTTTTTCTTTCTTTTTTATTTTTTTTAAGAGGCAGGGTCTTGGCTGGTGTGAAGGTACTGAATTATCTCCTTTAATTGTTCATGGTTACAAATCTAACTCCTTTTTTTTTCTGAGACAGAGTCTCAAGTTGTCATCCTCAGTAGAGTGCCGTGGAGTCACAGCTCACAGCAACCTCAATCTCTTGAGCTTAAGCAGTTCTCTTGCCTCAGCCTCCCATGTATCTGGGACTACAGGTGCCTGCCATAACACCCCGCTAAGATTGAACTTCTGTTCTTTCTTTCTATCTCACTACTATGTTTAACTAGTCTTAAAATATATATATAGGGCTCGGCGCCTGTGGCTCAAGCAGCTAAGGCGCCAGCCATATACACCTGAGCTGGCGGGTTCAAATCCAGCCCGGGCCTGCCAAACAATGATAGCTGCAACCAAAAAATAGCTGGGTGTTGTGGCAGGCGCCTGTAGTCCCAGCTACTTGGGAGGCAAAGGCAAGAGACTTGCTTGAGCCCAGGAGTTGGAGATTGCTGTGAGCTGTGAGGCCATAGCACTCTACTCAGGGCGATAGCTTGAGGCTCTATCTCAAAAAAAAATAAATAGGCTCGGCGCCTATAGCTCAACCAGCTAAGGCGCCAGCCACGTACACCTAAGGTGGCGGGTTAGAATCCCCAGCCCGGACCCGCCAAACAACAATGACGGCTGCAACCAAAAAATAGCCAGGTGTTGTGGCGGGCGCCTGTGGTCCCAGCTACTTGGGAGGTGGAGGCAGGAGACTTGCTTGAGCCCAGGAGTTGGAGGTTGCTGTGAGCTGTAATGCCACGGCACTCTACCCACGGGGATAGCTTGAGGCTCTGTCTCAAAATAAATAAATAAATAAATAAATAAATAAAAATATATATACAGATAGTATAGTGTGTATATATGTGTATATATAGTATGTATAGTATAGACACATATATATACATATATATAAATACTTTAAAAAAGAGGGACAATGTCTCATTTTGTGGCACGATCATAGCTCACGGTAACCTCAAACTCCTGGGCTCAAAGGATCCTTCCACTTCAGCCTTCTGAGTAACTCAAACTACAGGTACACACCACCCACATCCAGCTAATTTTTTTTTTTTAAGACAGAGTCTTATTACGTTGCCCTCAGTAGAGTGCCATTGCATTGCAGCTCACAGCAACCTCAAACTCTTGGGCTTAAGCAGTTCTCTTGCCTCAGCCTCCCAAGTAGCTGGGACTATAGGTGCCCGCCACAATGCCTGGCTATGCAGTTTGGTCGGGGCCGGGTTTGAACTCACCACTCTCGGTATATGGGGCTGGCACCCTACTCACTGAGCCACAGGCACCGCCCTGTTTTTAATCTTTTTATGATTGTCTTTTACTGAAGCTAGAAACTTACAATTTGGTTTGCTTATCTGAAGTTTAATTGCATTCATTATGTTTGCAGTGTTTATCCCTGTACATTTTGGAACGACTCATCATTTATGGTCATGTTTTAGTTCTTTGTTTATCTGCTGAAAGTGTGTGTTTTCCCAGAAAGCAATTGTCCATGTTTTAAATATTTTAAATAGCCTTGATATACTTTTAAAAATCATTTATCTTGGCCAGGCGTGGTGGCTCACACCTGTAATCCTAGCATTCTTTGAAGCCGAGGCAGGTAGATTACTAGAGCTCACAAGTTCAAGACCAGCCTGAACAAAAAAAGCAAGGCCCTCGTCTCTACTACAAATAGAAAAACTGAGGTAAGAGGATCACTTGAGTCCAAGAGTTTGAGGTTGCTGTGAGCTATGACGCCAGGCATTCTACTCAGGGTAACAGCTTGAGACTCTGTCTCAAAAAAAAAAAAAAAAATTATGACAGTTTCTTCCTGGATTTTGATTCTGTTTGATCCATAATACTGAAATCACTTTATAAAGGTTAGGTGATTTCAGCCTTAGGAATCAAAGAAAATGAAAATCGAGGAAGAATTAAATATATGAGCCTTATTCATACCACCTCTTTAGAATTAGAGAATGTTAGCTGGAAGAAAAATTTTTCCAAAATATGGAAAAACAGAAGTATAGAAAGATTATGACTTCTTCTAGGTTATCCAGTTGGTGAAGGACAGAGCTGGAACTGAGACTCAGACCACTGTCCCACTCAGTGGCTGTATCTGGGCCAAGCCAGGAAAGGGGCAGAGAATCCCCTAGCAGACACAACCCTCCTTTGGGTCAGTGGTATCAATTTGCTGATGTAATGTTTGACTCCACATCTGTAATAAGTTTCGTTAACATTGCCAGAATTTCTTAATTTTTTTTTTCTTTTTTTTTGCAGTTTTTGGCTGGGGTGGGTTTGAACCTGCCACCTGCAGTATATGGGGGCAGCACCCTACTCCTTTGAGCCACAGGCGCCACCTGAGAATTTCTTAATTTTGATAAATATTTGATATTTCATTTTTCTCTCTCCCACTTATGAATTATAAAGCAAAATTAGAACTATTTCAACAGTTCATTCAAATCATCAACAGCCAGCATATGTATATAGATTATGACATTTACATTTGAAACCACAGGTTTGCAAATGACTTCCTCTTTAAGTTATCTACCCCCATGGCTTCTGTTCAGAAGTCCAGAAGGGTAGAGGAGAAGATGACTAATACTGAGCACTAGTTTCAGTATTTTGGCTTCTCAACTACTTTCTATTCGTTGTCCTCAGGTTTGGGTTTAGTTTACAGTTGCTCAGTGAACACACTCAAGCTAATGCTGAGGCACAGAATTTGTGAGAGTAGGATTTCTTGGTCTTGGCACTGTTGACATTTGTGGCCAGGTTACTTCTTTGTTAGGGGAGCTATCCTGTGCATTGTAGAATGTTTAGCTGCACCCCTGGCCTCTACTCACGAGATGCCAGCAGTATCCTCCAGATCATAACAACCGAGAATGTCTCCTGATATTGCCAGAAGCCTCCAGATGGTGGGGAGGGATGTTTCAGAGTTGTCCTTTGTGGAGAACTACAGATTTTGAGTATTATTGTCTTGCAGATTTCTGATGGGAGTTCATTTAGTTGACCATTCTATAATGTTATCTTATTTTCATTTATATTTTGAACAGGGGGTTCTTTCTGCTTAGGCGGCTTATTTGATTCTGGAAGAGAGAGGATTTATACAACTTCTGTGTTTTCACTTGTTCTTACACACAGGAGATCCTCCTTATTCTTAGATTCCATATTTGTAAATTCACCTTGCTAACATTTATTTATAAATCTAAAATCAATGCTCATGTTGCTTTTGCAATCATTTGTGGGCAGAGTGGTGAAAATTTTGAGTAGCCCAACACATTTCCAGGTGAGGTTGAACAAGGCATCGCTCTCTGCCTTCTTGATTTTTTCTATAAACTGTCCTTTTTCTGATTAGTGCAAAGGGTGTGTTGTATTTCTGTCACCTTTTTTTGGTGATTTCACTGTTTTAAATGATCCCCAGGCATAATGCCAAAGTGCTGGCTGGTGTTTCCAAACAAAAGAAGCCTGCGATTGCCTTATGACAAAAATACATATATTAGATAAGCTTCATTTGGGTGTTATTTATAGTGCTGTGTAAATTCAGTGTAAATCAACAGTAAGAAGTAAAGTCCTGTAGTCCCAGCTACATGGGAGGCTGAGGCAAGAGAATCGCTTAAGCCCAAGAATTTGAGGTTGCTATGAGCTGTAATGCCACGGCATTCTACCCAGGGCAACATAATGACACTCTGTCTCAGAAAAAAAAGATGAAGTAAGGTACCTTTAAACAGAAATACATACAAACCAAGGTTGTGTATTTTTTTTTCTTTTTGAGACAGAGTCACTTTGTCATCCTCGTAGGGTGCCATGGCGTCACAGCTCACAGCAACCACTAACTCTTGGCTCAAGCAGTTCTCTTGCCTCTGCCTCCTGAGTAGCTGGGACAACAGTCCCCTGCCACAACACCCGGCTATTTTTAGAAACTAGGTCTTGCTCTGGTTTAGGCTGGTCTTGAACATGGAGCTCAGGCAAACCTCCTGCCTCGACCTCCCAGAGTGCTAGGATTAAAGGAGTGAGCTATTGTGCCCAGCCACAAGGTTCTGTATTGAACAGTTGGTGAAAATGTTATCACCAGAGGCTCTCAGAAACCTAACCTTATCCGAATTTCCCTCAGATTAGCGGTTCAGTACTCAGGGTCTCAAGGTTATGGAACCTAACTACTGCAAATAGCAACAATCAACTCTGTGTGCATGTGATAGAGAGAGAGAAGGATTGATACAAGAGGAAGGCAAGTTAAGATCTTATCAGGAGCACAGTGGAAGGGAGTCACTTTATTTATTTTTTGAGACAAAATCTAACTCTTTGTCAACCTGAGTAGAGTACTATGGCATCATAGCTCACAGCAACCTCAAACTCCTGAGCTCAAGAGATCCTTTTGCTTCAGCCTTCCTAGTAGCTGGAACTACAGGCAGCCACCACAACACCTGACTAGTTTTTCTGTTTTTAATAGAGACAGGGGTCTCGCTTTGCTCAGACTGGTCTCAACTCCTGAGATCAGATGATCCATCCACACAAGCGAAGAGGCCACTCTCCCAGAGTGCTAGGATTACAGGTGTGAGCCACCGTACCCAGCTTTAGATTAGCTTTAATTCTTAAAAATTATTGGCTCGGCGCCTGTGGCTCAAGCGGCTAAGGCGCCAGCCACATATACCTAAGGTGGCGGGTTCGAATCCCCAGCCCGGGCCCGCCAAACAACAAAGATGGCTGCAACCCAAAAATGGCCAGGCATTGTGGCGGGTGCCTGTAGTCCCAGCTACTTGGGAGGCGGAGGCAGGAGACTCGCTTGAGCCCAGGAGTTGGAGGTTGCTGTGAGCTGTGATGCCATGGCACTCTACCCAGGGGGATAGCTTGAGGCTCTGTCTCAAAAAAAAAAAAAAAAATTATTGTGTGAGGCAGATATTGTTCACTACAGGTGCATGCCTGTAGTCCCAGCTACTCATGGGAAGGCTGAGGCTGGAGGATCCCTTAAGACCAGGAGTTCAGGGCTACAGTGAACTATGGTTGTGCCACTGTACACCAGCCTGAGCAACAGAGCCAGACCTCATCTCTAAAAAATAGGTAAAACAATCTTCTTATTCTATTCACCAGTGAGAGACTTGGACAGGGTATAGTTTGTATGGTTTTTCTTCTCCCTTATGTCTGGGGCTCCAGCTGGGAAGACTTGGCATCTGAGACCAGAATAATCTACAGCAGGAAAACTAGGGCCCTCTACCTGTTTTTGTAAACAAGCTTTTACAGAACGTGGTAAAATCTATTCATTTGTCTCTTGTCTGTGAGTGCTTTGTTCTCTAACAGCACTTAGAGTTGCAGCAGATACTGTATGACCTGCAAAGCCTAAATACTTATTATCTGATCTTTTATGGAAAAGTTAACTAACCCCCTATCTGGAGGCGGCTCCACTCCCTGGACAGATGGTGTTGGCTCTCCACTGGGGCTGGTCTCTCACAGGGACTGGGCTTCCTCACAGCATGTCACCTTTTCTAGCAGTGAAAAATATAGTGACTGATGTGATAATGTTTCTGCCCAGGGAAACCTATTAGAGATTCAGGGCCCAAGATTTTTATTGGAGGCTGGTCACATAGGCACTCTGCTTAGCAAGTACCAAAATTCCAGACTCACAGAAGGAAAGCAGTGTTCAGCATTAACTTCATTATTTGCACAGACAGATTAAGGAGAATAAAATACCCTCATCAGTTTGGGAAAGGTGAGAACACTCATATCCAAGTTCTAAGATGTTAACCTTATAAGCAGATGCTCTTAAAAATAGCATCCTGAGGCTGGGCGCGGTGGCTCACGCCTATAATCCCAGCACTCTGGGGGGCTGAGGCAGGTAGATTGCTTGAGCTTATGGGTTCAAGACCACCCTGAGCCAGAGCGAGACTTCATCTCTAAAAATAGCCAGATAGCCAGCACTCTGGGAGGCTGAGGCCAGGTGTTGTGGCAGGCGCCTATAATCCCAGCTACTCAGGAAGCTGAGAATTGCTTGAGCCCAAGAGTTTGAGGTTGCTGTGAGCTATGATGCCACCACACTCTACCCAGGGCAACAAAGTGAGACTGTTTCTTTAAAAAAAAAAAAAAATAGCATCCTCAGTCCTGCTGTGCTAACTAACTCTTCTGCACAAAACTATTCTGCACGTTCCTCACGTGGCCTCTTCACTTGTGTCTTTTTTTTTGGCTGTCTTCCTTCTCGTGTCCTCTCTGTCTGAATCCTGTACCTCTTGTGGGATCCATGTCTAAAAACTGCCCCTCTCCAATGTCCTTTATCAGGAACTGTTACTTTCCCATTCTAGCGCTCACAGATCACTCTTTTGAACTCCTGTAACACTTGTAGGGTATGTTATATTATTATTTAATATATTAATATTTAAAGTATAAGCCTTTTGAGGTTGAGCACTCTTCTGTGTGTCCTCAGAGCACCCCGTGCATGGCCTGTTCATGATGTAGACCTCATTGTTTTATAGTTGTCTGTCTGTAGCTTCTCGAGAGCTGGGGCCACATCAAGTGCAGGGCCCGCCATTGTCTCTTCCATAGTAGATACTCATGACCTAAGCAGAGCCTTACATTCTGGTAGATATGATTGCTAAGGAACTCAAGTTATCTGTATCATGATAAATCATTAAAATTGTTTTCAAGTAGACTCCCTTTTATTCTTTGTATTTCAGTACCACTAATAATGTAATACTATGTTCATGTGCTAAATTTGATTTTCTAAATTTAGATTATATCTCCTCACTAGAGCTTAACCTTTTTTGTGTGGCAGGATGCAGACTCATCCGATCGTATCATTGCTCCCATGCGATGGGGCTTGGTCCCATCTTGGTTCAAAGAAGATGATCCTTCCAAGCTGCAGTTCAATACTACCAACTGCCGCAGTGATACCATGATGGAGAAACGGACATTCAGGGTAGGTAGCTGGTCTAGGGAAAAGACATATACTCTGGGGGCAGCGCCTGTGGCTCAGTGAGTAGGGTGCCAGCCCCATATACCGAGGGTTGTGGGTTCAAACCCGGCTCCAGCCAAACTGCAACAAAAAATAGCCAGGCGTTGTGGCGGGCGCCTATAGTCCCAGCTACTTGGGAGGCTGAGGCAAGAGAATTGCCTAAGCCCCAGAGCTGGAGGTTGCTGTGACCTAGGACGCCATGACGATCTACTGAGGGTGACAAAGTAAAACTCTGTCTCTAAAAAAAAAGGCATATACTGTTTCTTTTGCTAACGAAACTATTAGTGCTTTTTATACCTGAAAAATAAGTTTACAGAGAGTATTCCCTGTTATTTTTTTTTCTTGAGACCAGAGTCTCAGTATGTCACCCTCAGTAGAGTGCTATAGTGTCACAGCTCACAACAACCTCAAACTTCTGGGCCTAAGTGATTGATTCTCTTCCCTGTTTGCCTTCCAAGTAGCTAGGACTACAGGCACCTGCCACAAGGCCCAGCTATTTTTTGGTTGCAGTTGTCAATTGTTTAGCAGGTCCAGGCTGGGCTTGAACCCACCAGCCTCAGTGTATGTGGCTGGGGCCCTACTCACTGAGCTGTGGGCGCCAAGCCAGTATTCCCTGTTATTTAATGGGGAGTGCTATTCTTTTTATTGCTATGTAACAAACCACACTCAAACTTAGTGGTTCAGAACAAAACAACAGCATTATCTCTCATATTCTCTGGGTTGACTGGGCTTAACCAGGCAGTTTTCACTTGGAGAGCCTTATGTAGTTGTCATCAGATGGTAGCTGGGGCTGGATGTCGCACATGGCTTCTTCACCCATAGCTGTCACCTCAGCTGGGATGGCTGAGACAGTGGAAGCCTTTCCACATGCCTTGCTTACAGGTATCAAGGTAGTCAGATTTCTGCCATGCTGACTCACTTACCCCGAGCCCACGATCCAATAGAGCAGTACAGAAGCCTCAAGGCTTTGTGACCCTGCCTTTGAGTCACACAGCATCACTCTGCTGCATTCTGGTTCTACAGAGCCAGCCCAAATTCAGTGTGGGAGGGAGTCCTGGGAAGCATGGCTTGTTGGGAGCCAGCTTTGGAGACTTGCTACTATACATACTTATTAGAGCTGGTTGCTTGTATGTCCATTATTTAACCTTTCAATGTCTGTAAGTTGTGACTTTATATGTAAGAGTGAGGCACAGAGAAATTAACTATCCTAATGTCACGTTAGTAGGCCTGAGATTTTAACTCAAGGGACCATATGCTGGCAGCCTGTGAGACATGACTGTGTCACTAACAACATATCCTGGACACATTTTCCCTCAGGTGCCTTTTGGAAAAGGAAGACGCTGTGTTGTTTTAGCAGATGGATTCTACGAGTGGCAGAGATGTCAGGGAACAAACCAGAGGCAGCCCTATTTCATCTATTTCCCACAAGTCAAGACAGAGAAGGTATCATTATCAGCACTCACTAGTATGTATTTGGAAAAGTACAGGGAAACAAATTAATCCAAACTCAAGTATATTTCATTATATCAAAGATATACAACCATTACCACTAATTTTAGGACATTTTCATTACCCTGGAAAGAAACCGCAGAGGCTATGAGCAATCACTCTCCATTTTCCACTCCCCTCTGTCTCTAGCACATGATTTGCTTTCTGTCTTTATAGATTTACGTATTATGGACATTTCACAAAAAGGAAATCGTACAATATTTGGTCTTTTGTGACTGGCTTCTTTCATTTAGCATGATGTTTTCAAGGTTCATCTTTTTTTTTTTTTTTGAGATGGAGCCTCAAGCTATCCCCCTGGGTACCGAGTGCCATGGCATCACGCTTACAGCAACCTCCAACTCCTGGGCTCAAGCGAGTCTCCTGCCTCAGCCTCCTAAGTAGCTGGGACTACAGGCG